GTATTTAGAGGAAATAGCTTCCTGAAAAAAATCCATTATTGGAGTACAGGATAGACTTTGGAAAGACAGGATGGGAAGGAGAACTGGGGAAGATATTTGGATTCGAGGGCACATGAAGCCCCTTGAGAGGACTTAAATGTCATTAGGGAAAGAAGTGAATTTTTAGGGGACATTTGGAGGCATTTAGGACAAGAAAAAGCAAATGCGAAAAATAGTTCGGCAATATGAGTTTAGACTTTGGGATCTTAAATGCCTTTACCACAGGACTGTGTCCGTGGCTTTTTCCTAGTTATAGTTTTTGTAAAAATTAGTAACTTAAATGAAAATAGATGATTTGCTTATCAAATTTGTGGATGACACAGGTTAGCAGGGATCATTGGATGGCAGAAGCAGGAATCAGAAAGATCTTAACCAGGTAGAACTGATTAAGATTAAATTTAACAAGTATTACTCTGTTCAGTAATTAGATTCAAAAAACCCCCACCACTGTGAAAGTATAGGGTGGGGGTAGACTGGACTTAACACATTCATGTGAAAAAGACTTGGGGAACTTTAGTTGACTGTGAGCTCACTGTGATTCATCTGTGGGGCAGCTGTGGGGGAAAAAAAACAAACCTAAGCAGTCTTGGTCTGCATTGATAAAGTGGTGTCTAGTTGAAGGGAACTAAATCTTCTATGCACTGGTCCAGAGCATACAGGGTCGAAACCCACAGTTTAAGAAATGCTGATGGAGTCATGAGTGGAAAAAGTTTAAGAAACCCTGGTGAGACAACACCTTGGAATCTTGTGTTAAGTTTTGGCATCACATTTTTAGAGGGAAAGGTGATAAGAATGATGAGAAATCTCAAAACTTTGTCAGGGGGGAGTGGTTGAAGGAACTGGAGATGTATCATCTGGAGGACAAAAGATTCAGTAGGGGTACATGAGAAGTTTCTTAAAAAATTTAAAGTCTGATCATTGAAAGGGGGAATAAATTTAATCTATATTGCTACGGGCAAGAAAAGTGTGACCCATGCATGGAAGTTACAAGGAGACAGATTTAGGCGTAATATCAGGAAAAACTTCTAAAACTGAAGGGATATCTAAAAATGGAATGGATTGCCTTGTTAGTGAGTCCTCCCATTACTGGAAATGTTCAATCAGAGCTTGTCAGATATGTTGTCGAAGTAGGATTCTACTTGGGATGAGAGATTGGACTGGATCTCCTTTAGAGTTCCTTTCAACTCAGGGACTCTTCTGTGATTTAAGAATTTTTTATTTATGGCTTATGTTTTTATATTGCCTTCATTTCCAAATATATCACTCACTTTCCCCTTTCTTTATCTCAAAGAATTTTTAAATAGGACAGAAAAAAGTTGAATAAAACCAACCCACATGTTGATTGAGTCTGACTGTGTATGCAGTATTCAATACCAGTGGTCCCCTGCCATGACAAAGAAGAGAGGAAGAAGCATTTTCTCAACTCTCTCCAGGGCCAAGCTTGATCATTACATAGTTGTGATTATGTAGCATCCAGACTTTGTTGTTGTCATTGTTCTCTAATTTACATTGTTCTAATCAGGCATATTATTTTCCTGGTTCTGCTTAATTTGCATTTTTCTTTTTTAAAAAATTAATTTCATTTTGCATCCATTCATATCTTCTGCATCTTTGAACTTTTCATGTTAATTGTTTCTAACAGCACAGTAGTAATCAATAAACATGTACTAAGTGCCTACTTTGTGCCAGGCACTGTGCTAAGTGCTGGGGATACATACAAAAAAGAGGCGAAAGACAGTCCCTGCTCTCAAGGAGCTTACAGTCTACTGGGAGAGACAAAATGAAAACAAACATATACAAAACAGGCTATATTCAGGATAAATGAGAAGTAGCTAACAGAGAGGAGGCACTGGAATTAAGAGGGGTGAGGGAAGGCTTCCTGTAGGTGAGATTTTAGTTGACACCCCAGTGGAGTTGAGATAGAATGTACCAGGCATGGGGGACAGCCAGCTAGAGAAAATGCCCAGTTCTGAGAGATGGGGTATCTTGTTTGTGAAACAGTCAGGAGGCCAGTAACTGTGTGGGAGTGAGGTGTGTGAACACTGGAAAGGTAGGAGGGCTTAGGTTTTGAAGTGCTTAGGCTTAGGACTTTGAATGCCAAACCTTTATGAATCCCAGTTTGTTTAGTCATTCCCCATATGAAGTGGTCATCTACTTTCTTATTTCCTTGCTACCACAAAAAGTGCTACTATGAATACTGGGATGCACGTGAGACCTTTTTGTCTTTATTCTTTCCAGGATATGTATTCCTAACAGTGAGGTATATGGGTCAGAAAGTATGGACATTTTAGTAACTTTTTTTTTAAGCATAACATGGAGTTATGCTTTCCAGAATGGTTGGATCAATTCACTGTTCCACCAACAGTATATCAGTGTGCTTTTCTTTATACAGCCTCCCCCCCTTGCCTATTTCTGTCTGTTGTTATATTTACCAATTGTAAAACCTCAAAGTTGTTTTGACTTGTATTTCTCTTATTATTAGTGAATTGAAGCAATCTTTTGTATGGTTGTTAATACTCTGCATTTCTTTTGCGAATTGTTTGTTCGCTTATCCTTTGGGGAATGGCTCTTGGTTTTAAGATTTAAGTCCTTCCTTTGATATCATTGTCATTCTCAGATTTGGCTACTTTATCCACACCTAGTTTAATCGACCATAAGATGGTGACTAACTTCCTCACCCCATTATTATTTGGACCTAGAACTGAAAATTAGAGAGACGAGCATTATGTATGCTCCTTGTTGCCTTAATGGTTTGTGATTGATGAGTCTCGTCATTGCTCCAACTCTCCTAGACAGATAGGCATCTGTGAATAGCTTTTGCTTGAGGGAAAAAAAAATCCATTACAAATTCAGGGCCATCCAATTCTGGCAAATTCTTCTACTGAAAAAGAACTATATAAAGTTGTAGAGGGGCAGACTCTCTTTACCACTTTACTTTTCTAGTTTCGTTAATTTGGAAAATAACAGTAATTTCTAGTAAAACTGACTAGAATACAAAGGCTGCATTTTAGTTTTTATTTTCTAGAAAGCTTAATTTAAAAGAGAGGGTGATACCTAGGGTAAAGTCTGCCAAAGAAAATAGTATACCTTCCTCATCAATTCATTCACTCATCATTTGTTAATTAAACTTCCACCTCTGTGATGAACAAACAGTGTGCCAGGCCCTGGGGCAGGGGCAAAGTTGAGATAAGATGTGGTCTTTGTTTTCTTTAGCTTAGTCTGGTTGGGAGAAGACACAGATGGAAATAACTGGAATATACATCCTGTGATACCTGTTCATTCAGAAATGGATTTTAGATGTCATTTAGCCCTTCATTTTACAAACAAGGAAACCGAGGCTCAGACATGTGAAGTAGTTCTCCCAGTCACAGATGGTTAGTGGCAGTCTATTGTAGTTTACTGAAAAAGAAGGTTCCATCACAAGGAAGAGATGTGTGTACAGCAGCCATTATGTTAAATGTTGAGAGAGCATCAGCTAATTTCTAATAAGCATTCAGTAAGAGGATGAGGAAGATTGAATACAGTAGTTCAAAACAGCTTTCTTAGCATCTCCAGTCCCTAATCCACCATGCCACAGTAGGGAAGGAAGGGGGGCAGAGGAAAGATCAGCCAAGGTATTCTAGGAATATTTTGTAGCTGGAAGGATCTAGGAAGGCTGCATGGAGGAGGTGGCCCCTGCTGCAGATTACAAATCTGTGTGAAAACTGATGGCTTCTTGCTATCCTAACCCTTTGTTTCTGCTGTCTTACCACCAACCTGGACCCAGGACCAGACTTCTGTAGAAGACTTTCCTGGCTGCCCCTGGATTGGCTGTGTTACCTTCTGGATTTCTCTTTGCTCACGCCCAGAATAAGGAGGAAGGAACACAACATCAGTCTCTAGCGCTCTTGAGCCCTTTGTCCCTGATACTCTGACATCTTTCTTGGGCTTGCACAACTGTAAAAAATGGACTCTTTTCATCCACCACTTGTGATTGTACCCAAATGTTCAAAATGGGATCTCTCTTGCTAGTCTCCTGGAAAAGGCTTTTAGTGGGAGGATGGCAGTAAAACAGCTAAAGCCTGCTTTTCGTGCAAGGGTATTGCTGTGAAGGGCACCAAGAGCAGCTATGTCTAAATTGACTTTCAGACCTGGCAAGATTTGAACCTGTCCAAATAAGAGAATCCAGGGCTGTAATTGCAGTGATTAAAAGCAACTTCTGACTCCAGCCTGAAGGCAAACACATTTGGTTCAGTGCACCCTTTGGGGAATTGGATATTGAATGATGAAAGATGCCTCAACCCAAGAACTGGAAACCAGTGAATTGTCCTGGAAACTCTAGATTAAATATGAGTTTTCCTTTTATCTTGCTAAAATTTAATCTCTGGGGGACCCAGTAAGAGGAACTCTAAGAACTTGGTAACCAGGTGTTTATTTGCTTGACTTTGGATGTAGCAAGGATGAGATTTGAATACGGCTAACTACCCCTATGGCACCTAAAAGAAGTCAGTGCCCCTTGAAATCACTACACTGATATCTAGCCTGTTTGGTGGCATCTGAGTGGGATTTTGGCTTATAGGAGGAAACTTTTCTAGTTTCTCTAAATGTATATGCTCTTAGCTCATTCAGTCAAGGTCCTAAGGGTTCCATGCTCTGTGACCTTTCATCATTAACCCCCTTTTCCTGTGTGTGTTTTTTTGTTTGTTTGTTTGTTTTTGTGTATATTGAGTAACAATTAGAGTTGCCTTTTCCTGAATTAACTGAAAGGTAAAGGGGTTTGAGATTCATATTGCAGATGTAAGGAGATAATTAAAAATTCACCTTTATAGGATCTGATAATTATTAGCTAGAAAGATTCTAGACTCTTTACCTGAGTGATGATAAAGGCACAATGAAAAATAATTAATCTCATCTATTTTGGCTTGGCTGGTTCATTTCAGCTTGTTTTTAAAATTGAACAATTGTTTTATGTTTTTCAACAGGCAACTGCAATGTCTGTAGATTGTCTTGGGCAGCATGCAGTGCTTTCTGGGTAAGTGAGCTCCAAAGTTCTCCTGTTGTGTGATTTCTAGGAATGCGAGATTTCTGATCAAGTAAAGGCTGCCTCATGTGCCCAGCAGGGACCAAAGCTCTGAATTCATGGGGGTCATAGATCGAAGCTTCTGGGGCTGTCCAGCTTGCTCGTTTGATAGAAGAAGGAACGAAGGGGTTATGTGACTGGCCCAAAGTCTTAGGAGACGAGCTTCGGAGGCAGGCTTTCTGACTCCAGATCTGATCCTTTTCCCACTTTCCTGTAGTGCCTCCCTACTTCCTAATTCTTGTGATCCTCAAGACTCTCAGAGATTTATCTTATTTATCCTGTGCCCACCCAAGCACCGTATAAGAATAATATGAAACTATATTTTAACCTAAGTCTTGAAACTGCAAAGTTTAAACATATTCTGTACCCGATTTTTATTAGGAGTCACATTAGCAATTTGCAACAAGCCCTAAGTCTGAATTACCTTAGACAGACATGTTGTGCTAGCCACTTTCCCATTCTTCATACTCCCCTCCCATTGAAGAGGATGGGGTCAGTGAGGAGTCCTTGCTGGCTAGTATCGCTTAACTGACTTTTCTCTGTGACTCACCATGTACATTCATCAGAGGTTTTACTTAATCTCAACCTTCTCGTTTCACTTTTACTTCCCTAACTCTGCTCTTCAGTCTTCAGTTTCCTTTGCCTTATCTCTTTTTCAAAGGGAAAAACATCATCTTACCTACTTGACTTCTCTGCCTGCCCCCTCTGCCCGCTTGGGGAGAGGTGTCCAAAGTCAGAGCTCATTCCTAGAGTTTTTGTAAAGCATCTGATCCTTACTCCTTCTCCGAGAGTGTCCAACATCTTATGCTCTTTGGGGTTTTGCTTGTTGATGTCTAGACTGTAGTCATAGAGTCTGGTTCTTCAGTCTGATAACTAGCTTCTCCCGTCTGAATTTCTCTTACTTCCCAATTATTTGTGTGCTCTTTTAATTTTCTCTTTATTCTGTTTCCTTTAAGCAGGAGCTATTAGCTTTTATACTTTTCATTGGCAAACCTACTTATCTTTATGGATATCTTGTGGTTCAGAGTTTTCTTTAGCAAAGAGACTGACTTCTACAGAACATGTTTGTGCATGTAGCAGAGAGTGTGTATGCATTAACTAACACACTAAAAGTGAAAGAGTGGGGGGAGCAGAGTTGAAAGACTTCCTTATTTCTGTCCCTTTCAATTTCAAACCTTTATCAAGTACCTGCTCTGTGTAGCTAGGTGCTAGAGATACAGAGACAGAAAGGAAATGGTCCCTGGCTTTGGAAACTGGCGTTCTCCTGTGTGTGTATGGAGGGGAGGTATAGGTCATACAGACAGATAAATAAAACAAGATCTTTCAAGAGGTAGAGAGCATTAACAATTTAGGGGAGGAGGGAAATCAAGAAAGCCCTTCTTTGGGAGAGTGGTCCCTGAGCTGGGTGTTGATCTTAGGGATTCAAGAGGTATAGGTGAGGAAGGAGTCTATATGGCCTATGAGGAACAGCTTTGACAAAGGGGTGGAGGCGAGAAATAGAATAACTCTTTATTTCAACCCTTTGTGAACTGGACAATGTCCTGCATGTCACTGGCACTCAACATAATAGTTTAATTTTGAGTACAGTTTATATTGCCTCTTTCCTCATAATAATCCTTTAATGTGCTTCCTAAAAGATTAAATTTAGTGCCTAAAAATAGTCTGTTTGCAAGGGAATTTGGAGTTCTGTTCCCGGATGTGTGGCTGTCTGTTAAATAGTGTCATATGAGTTTGTTAGCTGCTGTTTGCATAGTCACCGTGGGGTGCGCTTGTCATTTGCCCATAGTGGGCTGCCTTTCAGAGTGGGTAGATGTCACAGAACGTGAGTCACATCCAACCTCACTGTTGCCTTCGTGCTGGATTATACCCCATGTTGGGAAGGCTGCCTTCTAAAATTATGCTGTGACCCAGCTACCTGGCTTCTGTTTTATTCTTATTGTTGCTCTTTTAAAATTTGTTGTCCTCTCTGAGGTCTGAAGAATTGGTCTGTTTTGGGGGAGTTGAGCCCCAGTTGCCGAGTAGGTCTGGTTTAAAAAAAAAAAAACAGACCTCATGGTGCTAAACCCTTGCATGTATTTGGTACCCTTCCCATTCCAGCCGCCGATTCCTGTACATTGTGAATCTGGATGCCCCCTCAGAAGGTCACCGCAAGATCTCTCGTCAGAGCAAATGGGACATTGGGGCCGTGCAGTGGAATCCACATGACAACTATGCACACTATTTTGCAGCTTCGGTGAGTGCACTTTGTATATTTATTTATTTATTTATTTAGGCAGTTGGGGTTAAGTGACTTGCCCGGGGTCACACAGCTAGTCAGTGTCAAGTGTTTGGTCTGAGGCCAGATTTGAACTCGGGTCCTCCTGACTTCAGCGCTGGTTCTCTATCCACTGCACCACCTAGCTGCCCCTTGTATTTATTTATTTATTTTTTGGTGAGTGCACTTTGGCAGCGGGACAAGCTAGCAAACATGAAATGGCAGGGTCTGTGTTCTGAGGGGAGAATGAGACCATCCATTTTCCAAGCAGAAAATCAGTCAGTAGGTAATTCCCTCCTAGAAGGGTAAGAGAGGCAAATCACTTTGAAAAAAAAAAACAACAACTTTTTTTAAACCCAACCTGATCAGAGTAGTGTCATGGGTGTCAAATTTTGTGTCTGACTTTGAATAGTCATATCTTTAATTCTAAATTTCTTAAAGGAGGATAAAAGGAGCATTACTCCTTGCATTTGTGTGCCTATTATGTGCGCGGTATTCACTTTTGTCCATTTGTAGTTAGATGACTGGCTAATAGAAATGTGCTTAAGATGAGATTGCAAAATTTTATCCATTCATTCATTCATCTATTTATTTACTTATGTTCATTTTAAACTTAAATACAAAATGAGGAAAAAAAACAACAGTTCATGTACACAGCAGAACATAGAGAGGAGGATTCAGTATTAAAAACCTGAATTTCCATTTCAGACTGTTTACTTTAAAAAAAAAACAATTATGTAATAAATACTACATTTGTTTTCAAAGCTGCCCAGCTTTTCTGTGCTTCCTTCTAAGTTTTCTTTTGTTCTTTGCTGTGCACTTTTAATTTTTTTTCTCTCTTCCTACCCATCCCGACTTAGAGAAGGTTACAGTTAAACACATATATACACATATATACATTCCCATATATTAATATAAATATACTCATATATACGTGTATGTAAAACCATACTATACATGCTTCTATTTATGAGTTCTTTCTCTGGAGGTGGATAATATCTTCCTTCATAGGTCCAAGTCTTTGCATGTTTTTCTAAAATCAGCTAGCTCATCTTGTCTTATAACACAATTACATTCCATCACAATCATGTACCATATACCACAACTTCTTTAGTGATTTCCCAATTGAAGGGCATCCATCATTTTAAGCAATCTGTTAGTTTTAAGATGATAATCTCAAAGTTGTTTTAATTAGCATTTCTCTCATCAATAATGATTTAGAGCATTTTTATATGACTATATATAGTTTTGATTTCTTTATCAAAAAACTGCCGGTTCATATTCTTTAGCCATTTATCAATTGAGGAGAGATTGGGAAAATTTATAATAAATCTTCATTGCTCTCAAAGAATTGTAGACGATTCCATCCCTCTGTTGAGGGAAGAAAGTACGTGAATAGGTGTGAAAGATGTCTTTATGGGAAAAGGAGGTGATTCCTAAGGGTGAGAATGCTTTCCTTTCTTCTACTTATCTATCCAAAGAATCTCTGCCCCGCCATGGCACTCATTAACTGTGTGGCCTTGGGTAAGTCACTTTATTTTCCAGGCCTATAGTTTTCCTTTTGTGTAAAGTCCTTTGCCAATTGGTGGAAATTAACCAGGGAACAAAACCATTTTACAGTGCTGCCTGAGACCAAGGTTTTTTGATATTGACAGCCAATGAAGACACAGATAGCATGTGAGAAGGGAAAGAAGAGCAATTCTGTTTTAGCCACAGAAGAAACAAAGAGCTTCTCTTACAAGCTACTCCCCAGAAAGACATTAGCTGCCTAAAGTTCAGTGTCCTCTCAGAAGAGGAGGGAAGAATTAGCTTATCGCCTTTCTCTTTTACACCTTTGCCCAGCTTCTATCACAGTGGGAAGAGTACTTTCTTGTCATCTTTTGTCTTTTAATCCTTTAGTTCCCCCCCTCTGTCTTTACCCAGGTCATTTGTACCAACCTCTTCTTATTGGATTTAAGTTTATTGTCATTGTGTTTGTGCCACTGAAGGTGCTGGCTCTTGAGAGTAGTTGAGACATGCCTTACATCAGCACTGAGCACCTACTTTGTTTTTGGTTTTGTTTTTTTTTTAATAATAATTTATTTTTTTCCCCAGTTACCTGTAAAAACAATTTTTAGCATTTCTTTTAAAGTTCCAAATTCTATCCTGCCCTCCTTCCTCTGCCCCCTCCCTGAGACTGTAAGCAATCTGATATAAGTTATGCATGGAGCATTTCCCTTGTTATTCCTGTTCCACTGTAAGCTGTTTTGGTAGGTAGAATGCATTGGATTCCTCCTTCTTTCCACGGAGCCCTGGGGCTTCAGAATGACTTTGGCCTCTGTCTTCAGGCTTGATGCGGATGAGCTCCCCACAGTAATCAGCTCACAAGTTGGGTAATAGCCCATCACTCTCCAGCCTCATTTTGTGAAGAAATCTAAAGAGGTTTTTAGAGCCCCAGCTGCTGCTGCTGCTTTTTAAAACAGTCACGGTTCTCTTTGGTGTTTGTCTTCTGCAGTTGTAGCATCTCTTAGTCCAATATTTCTTTGCCTCTGTCCTTGATAGATACTGTGATGTAATATTTTGGCGAATTTCAAGGGTTCTGCTTATTCCATCTTCCTGGGAATGCCCTTTAGGTTGTTCCCCTTCTCCACCCTGTGCCTCTTCCATTTGAAAAATATTGATGGGCAGCAGAGGAGTGGGAAAGAGTGAGTTAATCGATAGTACTTTGTACAGTAGCATACAGCAACATAGATGGAGGATTATGACCTTTGTGGAGTACGGGTGGGAAAAGGAGAGCTCTTAATTGGTTTGGAAAAATTAGTGAAGGTCTTGGCTGCCAGTGTAGAATTGTGCACCTGTTTACTATAGCTTTGCAGGGAAATGACTTTAAAAGGCAAGTGATGCCTTCCTTCCTGGTTTGAAACCTGAGGCCCTGTTTCCTTAATTGCTTCAGTGGGTCTCTGATCTCATCTAGATGAGTAATCTCTAGGCATGATTTTTTTACCTTGTGTGACTCTTGTCCAGGTCCTCTATAGGAGGTACTGGTGGGACATGTAGGCTGTCTATCTATAATCCCTCACTTTCACTACATAAAGCTGGCGAGAAAATTTGTTCTGGGTATTATTAGCTCTACCCACATTGGATTTTTTTTTCTTTCTTGCAAGCTTAGACTGTGTGAGAGGTTTTAAGCTTTCTTGGCCAGTTTTCTGCTTAGCTTTCTTTTTTCATTTATTGTGCATTAGAGCTTTCCTAAGCCTGGTGGCACACTGATTTGCACATTTTGACATGCATTACTTTATTTCTTCTGTTTGATTTTAGAGCAACCAGCGGGTCGATCTTTACAAGTGGAAAGATGGCAGTGGGGAAGTTGGCACAGCACTGCAGGGGCATACCAGGGTGATCAGGTAGGTAGCAGGAGCTCTATAGCTTATTCGGCTGTGATTTGTCATTTTGATTCCACATTAGACGTAGAACATACCCTCTCTGCTGGAGCTTTCTGTGAAGTGATCCCAAGAGCTCAAAGTACCATCACCCTATTTGTCACAGTTCTCTGGGGAACTGAACTGAGAGATTGCCATCCTGCCACGTTTGTAGCTTGAGCATCTGTTTAGTGTTAGCTTTGGATAGCTGATAGACCATTAGCATTCCCCAAGGTGAGGGCATTCTTACAGAAAATCAGCCCATGCTTGGGAACCACCATCAGAGGGACTGTTAAACCAAATCCCTGAAGACGCTCAGATAGGTACAGCCTCTTCCAGAGTAAAAGATGAAAGCCATGTCTTGCTGTGAGGGTGGGAAGAAGTTGAATGAAATCTCTATCCAACAACATACCGAGAGGATCCAAAAACATGACACTGTTCTTTTACCTGTTTAAGTGTCTAAGAAATTGACTGTGCTCTCTGGAAGAAGATTCTTTAAGCACATGCAAACATTCTCTAGTTTGTTACATCCCAACGTGGTTCCAGATTATTCTTTCCACTTTGCTATTGGGGCTACTCTCTGTTCTCCTGGGTGGGGATGGAGAAGGCCAATTTGGGAAGCCGCTGTCAGGGAATGTGTGATGTGTCGAAGCCAGCTTGAAGCATGCTAGGCAAGGTTAGACTTCCACGGAGGACACTTTGGCATTTTTCCAGTGCCCTGTGGAGTAGGTTTTTGGGTGATGGGGAGATGATGGAGAGAAGTAAAGTTAGATACTCTTTGAAGATTACTTGTCATTTTGGTAATTTTTTTTTTTTGAGAAGGAATTCTTACCCCTGGGTTTCGTAGACCTCTCGGGGATAGATTTCATGGGATTAGTGAATGTAGATGGGAAGAAAATTACCTCTTTATTTTCACTTACCTTTAATCTAATATGTAAGTGTTTTTTTTAAAAAAAATCTGAATGTAGGCAACAAACCTTCTTCTGAGAAGGTGACGTGGGCTTCCACAGATTGCCACAGGGGTCCTTGATGCAAAGGAAATATTAAGAAGCCTGGTTTCAAGGTTTTCCTGCTTCAGCATTTGACGCTAGATCCATTGCAGAGTTAGTAGTACTGGCAAATAAAGGGACCAGGGAGCTTAAGATAGACAGAGGTGTGGAAGGAAGCATTGTGCAAAGAGGTGTTACTTTTGTATTATTTTATCCATGTAAGCAAGTGAAATGTGCTGGATTGGATCAGCCAGTTTTTAAGGGCATTTCCAAGTATTTGTGTGCCCTGGCTAAAGGTTAAAAACTGTGCTACTTCTTCCCCATCCCCACCCTCTGGCATTTCATTGAATAAAAGAATCTAAGAATTGGAAGAGAGTTAGAGGGCGTTGAGTCTCCCTCATACCTGATAAATGGTCATCCAGTTTTTACTTGGAAACCTCCAGTGAGGAGGAGTTCACTGACTCCTAAGGTTCTACCTCAGTTTCCCTTTTTGTAGCTTTTACCCTCTTGGGCCCTGTAGAACAAATTAATTCCTCTTACATGTAACACCCCTTTAGATACTTTGAAGACAGCTACCATGTCCCTCGAGTCTTTTCTTCTCCGAGCTAATTATCCTTAGTTCCTTCAGCTGATCCAAATTAGAAGCCCTTCTCTGTCCTACTTGTTTTCCTCTGGATGCTTTCCAGTCTGTTGATGTACTTCCTGAGATATGGCTCTGATTTAAAAAATTATTGTCCAGTAGAAGCTTCAGATTTTCACCTGTAACACATGTGACACCTTTTGGATAATGGAATTTTCTTGCATTAAAAATATGTGCATATTTAAAAAGGAATATTCAGAAATATCCCTCATGCATCCGCACACCCTGCCTCACATGTGTTGTAGTCTAAACAACTGCCTGCCTTTCCTATCCCTAGTCTTGGTTATATTTAAGCTTTCTTACAACTCTAAATACTAAGAATTAATAACCCTGTCCTCCTTCTGAGTGTGCCTGAGTTTTACTTCAAAGCAGCCGTAGCTGAGATGGGTTTAGAAAAGTGACTACCCAGAAAATACTTGGGCAAGAGGTGGTCAAAATTCTCTCCCTTCCTCCCTCCCTTTTTTTTTTCAAATGGCAGGCTGATGGAGTGGCTGGAAATCACAGGGAGCGGGTCTTCAAGTTTGAGGCATCTTTGGAGCCTAGTTCTTTCCCAAAGAAACTTGGAGGCTTAGAATCTGCGTGTCAGGGCTCAAACTGCCGAAAGATGGCGGCTCTTTGGAACCTTATAGAATGTAGCTCTGACTAATCCTACCACTCCTTGTGCTGTTTGTGTCTTACATTCCTAGTGACTTGGATTGGGCTGTGTTCGAGCCAGACTTGCTGGTAACCAGTTCTGTGGACACCTACATCTACATTTGGGATATCAAGTAAGAACAAGTAGGAGGCGTTCTTTTATTATGGGACTATTGGGTTAGGGGGATTTTGAGAGAACATGGAAGTTGTTTGTTAATTTTTATGGATGGTCTTTTGTCATTATGTCACAGTCATTTCTGAGTGTGGGGAAGCTTCTTCCATATTGAATCCTTCCTTGAAAGGCCTCCCCCCCCCCCAAAAAAAACCAAAAAACCAAAACCAAAACACTGGGTACAGTGATAGAATCTGACATCATAGCGAACATTCTTCTCTAGTGGTCTCTAAACATCTCAGCTGTGAAGAGGGAGATATATCCAGTCATTCGAGTTTGGCTTCCTTCTAGTAATTGTTTTCAATTATATCATTGTAGTTATTGTGGTTATGTTTTTTTGTTTTGTTTGCTTATTTTACTGGATCAGTTTTTACAGGTCTTCTCAAGTTTCTCTGATTTTCTCATATTAGTCATTTCTAGTTGCAAATAATATTCTGTGTACTCATATACCACAGTGTTTTCAGCTCTACTGCAGATAATGGGCATCCCTTTTGTTTCCAGGTCTTTGGTACCACTGAGTGCTGCTAGAAATGTTTTTGGGGACATCAGATCTTTGTTTCTGCCTTTGACTTGTTTGGGGATATGTTCTTAGCAGTGGGGTTGTTGGGTCAAAGGGTATGGACAGTTTAAGAATTTTTCTTAAGTAATTCCAAATTGATATCCAGAATGGATGGACCAACATACGGCTCCACCATCAGTCTATTCGTGTCCCTCTCTTCCCACAGCCTCTCCAATATGACTGTGGTACAAGACATTTTGAGGGATAGACCTATTCACCATTATACCTTTTCTAGCTCAGGATAAATGGTATTGTAATCTCTTCTCCTTAGTAGGAGAGGATGTGAAATTTGTTGTCCTCCACAGAGCCTAGTGACACGAGCAGACCCTTGCTCTCCTGCTGTCCTGGACCGTGGGAAAAAAGAAGTAGTTGGGAGAGAGGATCTTGTTGTCTTTTATGTTTAGGACAAGGTGGGGGGGGGGGGGGCGGGCCCAGCAGGCCAATCCTGGGGCTGGTAGGCAATGGGCAGGGCCTGTACCCGTCTTTCTTGCTTTCTGTTGCTTCTTATATAAGCAAGGCACTACAGGTATGCTTTGGAAGAGGATGGTCACGATAGAATGGGGAAGCCAGGGAATTAATTAAGAAAAAAAGAAGAGAAAGAATGCAGAAAAACAGGGATTTGAGGAGCCAGATTTTGGAGAATATTATATATGTATAAAATAGAATATAAAAGAGCTTTATTCTGAAATGCTAGATTAGTTTTACTTTCTCCAGATGCAACGTGTGTGTGTGTGTGTGTATGTATTTGTATTTGTGTTGTCTTTGGGGAAGCACCTTTGAGCCTTAGAACACTGCCTCGTTCTTTTCAGTGTTGTTTGGTATAGAAATCATCCCATACATTTTGGCCTGAGAGGTCAGCTGTAAGACTTCGTTTCTCCCTGTGAGTGGGCTAGGTTCACTTTCATGCCCAGAAATAGCTTTTTATCCTCAGCTGAAGAGTTGTTTGGAAGCTTCATGCAGGGACATGCTTCACTGGTAGTCATCTCATTGCCGCTGTGAGAAATGACACCATAGAGGGACTATTTTGGCTTCTTCCTATACATCAGGGTCACCCGGGCTCTGCTGAGTCATGAGACTTTTCCTTCTTGGACATGGCTGACTGTTTTGAAATTCAGACCTAGAAAACATTGTAGCTGACTGAGAAGTGAGAAAGCTCAGTAATTCATTTAATATGGAGGAAAAGGAGTCCTTTTTGCAGCAAAATCACTTTTTCCTCTTGAGCCCAGCCAATTATGTCTAATTGATCCAAAGTTCCCATTGGGTAGAAAGCGAACGGCAGCTGTGAAAGGCCCCCAGACTACTGGAAAAAGGCTTCAAATGGCAAAGGGCTCAGTGTATGATTTGGGCCTTCTGTGTTTCAGAGACACAAGGAAACCTACCGTTGCACTGTCTGCTGTAGGTAAGTACTTACTCCTGTTGTTTGATGTCCGTCTGTTATCCTGCTCTTCCTCCATTTCATTCCTTCTATCCTCTCAATACTGGATCCTTTAGTGACTAGATGTCTCCCTACTGCACAACTCTACTGCCTAGCTGAGGTGGCAGTGACACGAGGCTTAGCCTCAGGGTAGAGGACTAAAGGGCTTTCAGGGGATGTGTCAGGAAGGATTTAGGAATCCTAGGACAGAAAAATCCCGTTTTGAAACTGTTTCTGATTGACGGTGTCTCCCTTTCGTGCAGGGGTGTTTGAGTGGAGTACTTCACTGTCATGCTGAGTGGAAGAGCCTTATTTTGTTCAGCATATCTTCCCCCCACATGTATGGGTCTGTCTCAGGAAAAATGCTCTTTCTTCGGATTCTGAGATATTTCAGCCCCTTTCTCTAAAGGGGGCAGAAATTCAGTTACACTTGGGGATAGTGGCTGTCTGTGTGTGACACTTCAGAGGTTAACTTCTTGAAGAACAGCATCTATGCCATTTTTCATTTTTGTTTCCCTAGTAGTACCTAGCAGAGTCCCTTGAGAGAAGCAGGCCCTTCGTGTTTTTTTAACTGAATTTTATTGGTGTGGGGACTTTCTCTACTGTACATGTGTACCAGCATCACATGGGGACTGACCTTCTGATATACGCCTGTCCAACCCTAGCTAAGCAGCCATCAGATGAGGGATGCGTGAACTGTCACCAGGTCCTTTGTTGAGGATTTTTTTTGGTGTAAGGACTGACGCTCTGCACATAGCTGGCAGAGTCCTTAAGAACCCAGGGTTACCTTCTTGTGTGGAGCTGCGATGTTAGTGACCCAATAACAAGTGACATGTGGCACCTGGGACACAAGCCATCTGTGCCTTCTCTCTGTTTCTTAATTCCCTTACGCCCCTGTTTTGCACATCTGGGCCATCTCTGAGGTGATCCTTAATACTAGTCACCTCATTGTCAAAAAGCAATTATTAAGCACTGAACTGAATTCATTGATAGGCTAGTTAATTACATTAACCTGGACCTCTCCCTCTAGGAGTTACATTCCAAGACAAATACCAACTTTAGCCCAGCGGCTAGATGTATTGACTAAAAAGGCCAGTACTTAAGTGGACAGTACGGTACTTCTCTAACTTCTTATCCAAGCCAGATTCTGAATCTAAGATCATGTGATATTAGTGAAACCTTAAAAGCATTTTTCTTTTCCTTACTCTCATTTTTATTATGGTTTTCTGAACTGTGGTTAGCTATCCTCTCCCACCCTTTTAATTTAAATATCCCAAGTGACCACTGTTGTTACTACCTGAAGTATAGTGAGCTTCTTTATTGGGTCACAGAGCTCTTCTGAGAGAACTGGATAGCATGTAAGCTTCTTGAGGGCTTGGACTACAGTCAGTTCTGCTATAACACAAAATAGCCATTCTCCCAAAGCTCCATGCTATGAAAAATTGTATAATAACCACAGAGATTATGGGGAGAAAGGGAGTGGAGCATAACACTCAAAAACTTCATCAGTGACACATTAAAGAAAGATAGAAACCATCCTTACAGAATGGTAACATTCCATGATACTGCTGTTAACACAATTTAATGTTTTTGTTTGTAATTTTTTTATTCTGAACTTACAAACACCAAAAAACCATGAGCATTTCATATACCAAATATAATACAAAAAGACTTTATATGAAGCCATGAATCTCCATTTCATACTGCTTCCTTTTTTTAAAATAAAAAGTATGTAACAAAGTTAATCCATTACTATCAAAACTGTCTTGCTTGTCTGTATTTCCTTCTGAACTACTTTCTGCACTCCTTTGTGCACTTTAAAAATGTTTCCTCTTTTTTTCATCACTATCAGTACCTTCCCTTCCCCCCCCCAATTAAAAACAGAGGGAAAAAACCCACAAAACCTTATAACAAATGAGTACAGGCAAACCACACAAGTCCACTTAGTGGCCTGGTTCCCACCTTGAGTCCATCCCCTCTCTGTTAGGAGGTGGGGAAATGTGTTCCATCTTAGGTCCTCTGGAGAAATGGTTGGTCATTGCTTTCATCAGTGTTCTCAGCTCTTGCAAAGTTGTTTTTCTTTACAATGTTGTATAAGGCAGCTAGATGGTAAGGTGGATAAAGAATGAAAATTGGAGTCAGACCTGAGGTCAAATCTGGCCTCAGGCACTTGCTAGCTGTGTGACCCTGGGCAAGTCACTTTACCTTGCTTAGCCTTGGTTTCCTTATCTGTATAATAAGGATAATAACAGTACCTACCTTCCCTGGTTGTTGTAAGGATCAAATTAATTAACATGTAAAGTGCTTTGCAAATCGTAAAGTATTACATAAATGCTAGCTATAATTATTATTATTAATTATCTGAGGCCCTGTTATCCACCCCTTTCTCTGTGTTTGTATACTTTTTATGCTTTTCTTATGTACCCGTTTTTCCCCTCTTAAAATCCTTAACAGAACCAGTCTACTCTCAGGTCCTCTGTTTTTCTTAATTCATTTTCTATTTTATTTATTTATTTATTTATTTTAGTTTTTTGGGCATTTGAGGTTAAGTGACTTGCCCAGAGTCACACAGTTAGTAAGTGTCATGTGTTTGGTCTAAGGCTGGATTTGAACTCAGGTCCTCCTGACTTCAGGGCCAATACTTTATCCACTGCGCCACCTAGCTGCCCCAGACATTCATTTTCTAAAAGGGCATTTATTTCTTCTTTCTCTCTTAGAATGGAGAGCCTCTTCCATCATACAGCCTCTTCTAAGTACTCAAATAAATTTACTTTTCTAGATTTTTCTTAAATTTTGTTTACCTTTTTAAGTTCCTTCTCAGCACTAGTCCTTTTGTTCAGGATGCTTGCAAGTCTCCTATTCCATTCAAGGTCCATTTTTTCCCCTTTAGGAAACTTTGCAGAGTAAGTTATTCTTGGTTGTAAGCCTGTATCTTTCCTCTTGTGAAGCTTTGCAGAGTAAGAATTTCTTTCCTTCTTTCCTTCTTTCTTTCTCCCTCTCTCCCTCTCTCCCTCTCGCTGACTTTTTTCTCCATTTAACAGTTTTCTTGGGCAGCTGGTGTACTTTTTTTCTATTGTATTTATATATTTTTAGTTTTCAACATTTACTTTTATAAGATTTTGAGTTCTTAATTTTCTCCCATCTCCCCTCCCCAAGACAGCATGCAATCTGATATAGGCTATACGGGTATAATCATATTAAACATATTTCCACATTAGTTATGTTGTGAAAGAAGAATCAGAACAAAAGGGAAAAACCATGAGAAAGAAAAAAACAAAACAAACAAAAAAAGAAAATAGTGTGCTTTGATCTGCATTCAGAGTACATAGTTCTTTCTCTGAATATGGATAGCATTTTCCATCGTGAATCTTTTGGAATTGTCTTTCAGGAGTAGGGAACCTTCTGGCTCGAGGCCACATATGGCCTTCTAGGTCCTCAAGTGAGGCCCTTTGATGGAATCCAAAGTTTGCAGAACAAATGCTTTTATTAAGGCCACAGGTTCCCCACCCCTGTTAAGATCATTCTATTGCTGAGAAGAGCTTAGTCTGTTAAAGTTGATCATTGTGTAATATTGCTGTTACGATGTGCAATGTTCTCCTCGGTTCTGCTCACTTCACTTAGCATCAGTTCATGCAAGTCTTTCCAGGTTTTTCTGAAGTCTACCTGCTCATCATTTTTAAAAAAAAAATATTTATTTATTTTTGGTTGTCAACATTGATTTCCATAAGATTTTGAGTTTTAAATTTTCTCTCCCTCCTTCTCTTTCTCTCTCCCCAAGATGGCATGCAATCTGATATAGGCTCTATGTATAAATTCATATTAAGCATGTTTCCCGTTAGTCACGATATAAAGAAGAATTAGAGGTGATGGGAAGAGCCAAGAGAATGAAGCAGTAAAACCAAACAGCAAAAGTAAAGGAGAGCAGGTGGCCTGCTTCCATCTGCATTCAGACTCCATGGTTCTTTCTCTGGATGTGGATCTGCTGATCATTTCTTGCAGTACAATGGTATTCCATCATAACCATATACCACTACTTGTTCAGCCATTCCCCAGTTGATGGGCATCCCCACCATTTCCAGTTCTTTGCCACCACAGAAAGAGCTGCTATAAATATTCTTGTACGTTTGGGTCCTTTTGCCTTTTTTGTGCTCTCTTTGGGATACAGACCTAATAGTCATGTTGCTAGATCAAAGGGTATGTACAATTTGGTTGCCCTTGGGGCATAGTTCCAAATTGTTTTCCAGAATGGTTGGATCAGTTCATAACTCCACCAACAGTGCATTAGTGTCCCAATTTTCCTACATCTTCTCCAACATTTATCATTTGCATGTGGTGCACCATTGAGCATAGCATTCTTAGCCCCGACAATGAGAACCTCTCCTTGTACCAGCAGTTTTTCCTGGGTCTGCGTTTTCTCCATCACTTTGTACGGGTTCCCAAAGAGAGAATGAGACCGCCCCCAGTGTGGGAGGTGAGCTGAAATGATCCAGGGGGACGGTAGTAGCCTTGGGTGCAATTGGAGGGCATTGAATAAAAATAAGGGAGTGATGGAAGCATAAGAAAAGAGAAGAGAAGAAAATTTGGAAAAACCATTCATACCCGTTTCATCTGTTGTGTAACAAAGTTAAAGTCATAGTGATTACATTATTTTCCAAATAAACACACGAAATACAAGCTATAACTGATCAGTGGTCAAGTCTGCAACAGGTCCTAAGAAACCAGTGTTGGCAGATGTTGCACATTGTCGGGAAGTCTAGCATGCATTGGCAGGGATGTGTGGGGTAATGATTTGTTCACAAAACGCTGCTGTATGGTTTTACAACACAATATTGTGTCATCAAAATGTCAATGCAGGAAAAAACCCACAAATTTACAATAAATCATTAAATCTAAGTTGTGTCATTTAAAAAAATGTATATTTTTTTGAAATGATGCAAAATTTAAAAAAAAAAAACATTAAAGGTTTAAAGAAAGATTTCCAGGGGGATGCTGAGTGATTTTTCTTTTGATAAAGGGGGCAGTAGGCCAAATCAGTTTGGGAACTTGTGCTTTAGAGTCTTAGTTTCTTGACCATGGGTGGGAATCAGCCTCAAGTAGGAAGATCTTTTCTTTCTTTATTTCCTTGTCATGCTGATGGCGAGTCGCACTGAGAAAGCTGTCATTTTGTAAGTCCTAAACTGTCCTGTGATCAGATGAAGCTCTCTGCCTTGGTGTCTTTTTGAGTAGAGAAAAGAACTACACTTTAAAAAATTTCAGTTAATGTCTCAATCTTTGGTGTGGGGCCATGTTCTGCAGACCCTGGAATCAGGCCATCTGTCATATTAAAGTCCTGTATCTGCCTATGTTCTTATTTGAGCCTTGTGGCAACCCTGTGAGGTGGCTAAGGCAAGAGGAAACAGACTTGGCAAGTGTAAGGGACCTCTGTAGGCTTCTTTGTGCTGCTGTTCTTGCAAAGGAACAGAGTTGTGTAACATAAGGCCTTATCTTGTCTTTCGTAGTCTGTACTTTTGAATGATTTCAAATGAAGATTCACAGAAATGAACACTTAGAGCCTAGAGGGTCAAAATTCAGTGTCTCTGGTCAGGAGGATGATCTGAGCCTTAACTCTTTAATTTTAAGTTCTCAATCGTTGACCTAGCCCACGTTCTATGGACTTTACTTTTTCTGTCACTGCACTTGTAGTGATTTTCTTTAGAAATGAGCCACAGTAGAGGAAAAAGTATCCAAGCAGTGACGTGATTGATGTGTACCAGTGGTGTGGCATCTGTTTGAGTTCTTATTTTGTATGTTAGTTTGTCATTATTTCCTTTTGAGACCTCTTCTGCCTTGGTTTTCCCAGTAGAGACTGGATTTCTCCTAATGCTTGAGTCTTCTGGGACCTTGAGCGGCTTTTAAATTGCCATCACTATGTCCCTGTGTTGGCAGAGTGGAAAGAGGGAGCAGGACTGCCTGATGCTGGGGTTTTTCCTCCTTTATCTGACTCTAAGTAATACCAGTGATAGTGCTTTGCCCTGGTGGCACACAGTACCCTCTACGTAGTAGGTACTGCATTGGTTGCTGAATGGCTGGAGAGTGGAGTGCCTGGGGGATGCCTATGGAAGCCTTTTTTTCCGGGTGAGGAGATTGGGTGACCATCTGTGTGTACTTCTTCTGAGCCTGTGCTTCAGTCCCCAGAGCCAGGAGACTGGAATGGCACTAGGAAGGGCCTGTTGTCCTTGGAGATGCCTGTAGGTCAGGTTGTGGGATGAGTGATTCCTAGCGAGCAGCGCTGTGAGCCTGTAATAAAACCATACTTCCCCACTGGTTCTACTGCCAGGTTACCTTTAGTTTTCTTTTTTTCTTGGGTGAGATTGTTTTCCCAGTTAAGTCCCTGTGATCCTTTTCCCATGACTTAACTCATTTTGGGCTTCATTTCATCTTTAAATGGTACAGTTGGCACCTACATAAGAGAACTTCAAACTGACAGGCTTTTTGTGGCTGTTCAGGCTAATGTCGTGAGCCAGCTCTGCTGGAGGACGGCAGCTTATTGAATAAGCTTCTTTTCTTTGCCCTCACTCCTGACTTTTCTGTTCAGCGGGTGCCTCACAGGTGAAATGGAATAAGAAGAATGCCCACTGTCTCGCCACCAGTCATGATGGGGATGTTCGGATATGGGACAAACGGGTGAGTTACTTCTTCATGGTCATTCTTCAGCCATTGTTTTACCTGACTGTGTAGGTGAATAATAACAGCTGATATTCAGATAATGCTTTAGGATTTACTAAATGCCTTATATATATTATTTGTGCCTCATTTTGAGGTGGGCACTGCAGGTGTTATCTCCATTTTGAGGATAAGAAAACTGAGGCAGCAGAAGGGTGAAGTAAACTGCCCAGAATTACACAGCTAGTAAGTGTCAAAGGTGGATAAGAAAATACTGTGAGCAGTTAATGAGTTGTTCAGTTGTTTTCAATTGTGTCTGACTCTTTGTGACCTCTTTTGGGGATTTTCTTGGCAGAGATACTGGAGTGATTTGCCATTTTCTTCTCCAGATTATTTTACAGTTGAGGAAACTGAGGCACACAGTTAAATGATTTGCCCAGGGTCACACAGTTGGAAAGTTTGAACTCAGGTCTTCCCTACTCCAGGCCTGGCACTCTTATACACGATGCCACCTAGCTGTCCCAGTTAACAAGTACTAGAGCCATATATGTTGTGGATAATTGCCACAATCAGCTCAATGTGGAATGAAGTTGCTTCGCAGCCCAAATGAGTGCTAAGCTAAAGTAGAGACATTGGACAGGCAAACAGTGGAGAACAGTTAAAGGTTGAAAATCTCCTGCTCTGTTTGATCTTAATCCCTGTTACTTTTAAAAATAATACTTCATATTTATATGTCACATTGCCATTTGCAAAACCCATCTCATTTTGAGCTGCCAGAAGCCCTGGGTGAGGTGGGTGAGGCAAATGTGGGCCTCATTTATCAGATGAGGATGGACATTCAGAGAAGTTAGATGACATATGGTGGGTCCCACAGTATTCAATAATGTAGCCAGAACTCAACTCTGGGTCTTTTAAAAACTCCCAATTTGTAGTGATTATCTTTTATTTTTATAGAATCTTCATTTCCCAAGCTCTCTCCTTTCCCCCCCCTCACCCAGCGAGTCTTCTCTTATAACAAAGAATGAAAAAGGGGAGAAGAGAAAAGCAGTTCAGAAAAGTAGCCAGTACCTCCCCCAAGTTTGGTCGTCTCCCTAGTGTGTCCAGTAGCTCCCCATGTCTGCAAAGAGTCAACAAGTTAATCAACAGGTATTTATTAGGAATTTATTACTGTGTAGCAAGCTCTGTGCTAGGCACTGGGGATGCAAGTATGAAGAAGGAAACAGGCCCCACTCACAAGGAACTTTTATTTTAATGGTGGAGAAAAGTATAAATAAAAACATATGCAGCATAAATAGAAAGTGAGTAAGTACAAATATATTTGCAGTTAGGGGAGCTCAGGAAAGGCTTCATACAAAAGATGGGCTTGAAAGAAGAAAGGGGCTCTCTGAGGCATAGGTGTGGAGGGATGCACTCTAGGCATGTGTGATGGCCAATGCAAAGGCATGGAGGTGGGAAAAATGGCATGTTGTGCATGAGGAACAGAGAAGACCAGAGTGCCTGTACAAGAGTGATGTCTGTTGAGTCTGGAAAGATAGTTTGGGGCCAGGTTGTGTAGGGCTTTAAAAAGTAAACAGAGGCATTTGTATTTTATCTCATAGGCAATAGGGAGCCACTGGAGTTGGTTGACCAGGGGAGTCACTTCTCAGATCTGCACTTGAGGAAGATTATTTTGGCAGCAGCACTGTGTAGGATAGACTAGAGTTGGGGATGATTTGAGGCAGGGAGGCCCACTAACAGGTTGTCACAGTAATCCAGCGGAGAGATAATAAGGGCCCAAACCAAGACGATCACTGTGTGATTAGAGAAGATCAGTTGCATGATATGTTTTGAAAGTAGAAATGACAAGATTTGACTACTGATTGTATGTGTGGAGTAGGGAGTAGAAGGGCAGCCGGCTGGCACAGTGGATAGAGCACCGGGCCTGGAGTCAGGAAGACTCACCTTATTGAGTTCAAATTTGGTTGCAGACACTTACTAGCTGTGTGACCCTGGGCAAGTCACTTAACCCTATTTGCCTCAGTTTCCTTATCTATAAAATGAGCTGGAGAAGGAAGTGGCAAACTGCTCCAGTATCTTTGCCAAGAAAACCCTAAATGGAGTCTCAAAGAGTAGCATATGATTGAAATGACTGAACAGCAATAACGTCAGAATGAGTGAGGAATCCAGGATAATGCTGAGGTGATGAACCTGGGAGACCAGAAGAAGGGTGGTGCCTTTGATAGAAATAGAGAAGTTTGGAAGAGAGGAGGAATTAGGGGGAAAGATGACGAGTTTTGTTTTAAACGTGTTGAACTTAAGGTGTCTGATATCCAGTTTGAAATGTCCAATGGGTAAGTGAAAACCAGGGACTTAGATATCCAGATCTGGGAATCATCTGCATAGAAATGATAGCTAAATTTCTGGGATCGATGAGGTTACTGAGAGAGCAAAAGGCCTAGAAGCTTGGGGACACCCCCCCCCCCGTTAGGAGGCATTTGGTAGGTGGTATCATGCCAGTAGAGGAGACTGAGAAGGAGGCTGTGTCAGCCTCCCGTGTAGCACATAGGTTGAGAAGGCTTATAGCTCCATCTTTGGGCTGAGTTCAGTGTTCTTTTAACTACATCGCTCAGTTTAGTCCGTGCGGGACACCGAATTCTGTCTCTGAACTGCGATCATTTACTCTCAGCAGTACCTGCTGCCTGCAGGCTGCCTTCTCACCAGCGCTCCACCGCTGGTGGTTCCCAGGACTCACTCAGCAGAGACACTTCCCCACAAGAAGGTGGGTGGGTGGTGTGCCCGGGCGGGCAGCATGTGGATGGAGCTTGGATTTTCCCTGGGGTCTCGATGTCCCATCTGTCTCAAAATAGCCTTGTGGATCACGTGCTTTCACTGCGGCAGCCCCTGAAACCGTCAGGCGTGGTGGAGACAGCAGGTTCCAGGCTGCTGAATGGAGAGGTCTCTGGAACGTCCGATCTGATTGCCTCAGTGTATGGAGGGTCTCCACAGCACGCAGGCAGGCGGACTGAGGGAACACCTGGACTTTAGTGACAGCTCAGTGTGAGCAAGAGCCACGTTTCATATCTGCGAAGCCTCAGGATCGCTGTTGCCGGGGTCATGTAGGGGTGGGAGGAGAGATAGCGATAGGTGATGGTGAATTCACTGAGCAGAAAAGGGAATGAATGAGCGTTAATGCAAGCTCCGTGTTCTCCCTGCCACGAGTCCTGGCAGGCCTTGGAGACAGGAGAAAGGTTTGGCAGAAGGAGAAGGCAAGGCGGGGGAGAAGAGGCAGGGACCTCCTTGGAGACATCAGGAAATGGCGAGCATCTGCAGAGGGAGGGACTCCTACCTGTTCTAGGGACTTCACTGCTCGCCAGTGGAGTTAGAAGACCTTCTCCCTTTGAGTCTTCTGGGGCCCATGGTGATTTTGAGTGTGAACGGTGTCATTATAGTGTCGTGAGTGCTATGAAAAGAAGGCGAACCCTGTGGCTTCATCCACTGGATGGGCACTCCCTGATATCTCATTCTTCAGTTCAGACTTGGCCATAGCCTCTCCCATTCTTCCTCATCATTGATTTAAGCTGGATAAATAGAAGTGAAGGGCGATTTTGCTTCATTTGGCTCTCTCTGAAGTAGAGAGGATGGCTTACGTAAAAGTATACGGAGATCATTTTGAAGCAGCGATGATGAGACTTTTGAGCCTGCCCCCAGACTTGGAAGCAAAAGGAGGGGAAAAACCCCAGACACCCTGGCTTCCAGCCATAAGTTCTGTCAATACCTGTTTCTCAAAGCTCTCCTTATTGTGAAATACACTGCTTAACGATTCCTTTTTCGTTTCCCATATCAGATCCACGTAGATCACAGCTTGCTACATTTTTATAGCTTTGACTTTTCACCCAGACGATTTCTTACAAGAAGTAGGGAAATAGTTTTCCAGCCCTCCCTGCTGATTGTCTTCCTCAGTTGTTAATATTGAAGACTGCGTTTGTCAATGCGTTCCTAAACAGCCCAGAGCACAGGGCCCTCGGCCTGATGATGGTCTTGGAAAAATTAACTTTGTAATCATGGTGTTGTGGAGAGGTCACTGCTGGCCTTGCAGTCAGGAAGCCTGGCTTTGGTCAAACACTTTTGCAAATGCTCATCTGCTCTCCAGACGTGAAGAGCAGCTGGTGTGAGTGGTGTTACCCTGCTCCTGGAAGTTGTGACCTTTGGAAACCGCTTCTGTGAAAGCCTCAGTTTCCTCTTCTATAAAATAGCGACCGTCGTACTTTGCACTGTTTATAGGGTAGCTGTGAGAAAAGTGCTTTGCGAACTTAAAAATTCAGCTTTAGATGTGAATTCTTACCAACCTTCTTTGTCACATGTTCAGCTGTTTGCTCCTTTCCTCCTCAATGTCCAAGCAACGATCTCTGTGTTGTCAGAAAATATCAGTAGCCAGAAAGCATGCCTTTAGGGATATTGTGTTTCTATACCCCAGAGCATCTAGCAGAATGTTGGATATGTTGATGCTAAATATATTTTTAATGGATTTAAAGAAGAAACTAGGTGGTATGTCTTGCAGAAACCTAGCACTGCAGTGGAATACCTTGCTGCCCACCTGTCTAAAATTCATGGGCTGGACTGGCACCCAGACAGTGAACACATCTTAGCCACTTCAAGCCAGGACAACTCTGTCAAGGTAAGTGGCCCCCTTCAGAACTTGAGGAGGGCCTGGCAAGGGACCTCTGTGTAAAGAAAAGCTGCGTCATATGGGCATATGGGGTATGATTACCTAAAGATCAAGCGCCTCTGTTAAGCAGGTAGTTAGCATGACTGTCGGTCTGTGCCAGTAAGTGGGAAATAGAGTACGCCTGGCAATGTCACTGCCGACTGTTCGGGAGTTTGCCTGCTTTCCCAGGCTCCAGCTGGTTATGACCATCAGGATGGGAGGGGACATTATGGTGGACATCTGTTGTCTGCCTGTTTCTTTCAGCTGCCCACTTAGAGCAGATGGCCTACGGAGAGAGCCAGTGACTTAAAAGCATCCCTCTGTGCACCTTTGGGTTTCTTGGGATCTAGAACATTATGACTTTATTAGAACCAAATGACTTTATTAAATCCCAAAGATACCATGCTGGAACGTCTCTACTTCATGCCTGTATGAATATTTAGCAGACTTAGGATTAATTGTATTAGCTTTGCAGTACACTGGAGATAGGGTCACTGGGTCACTTTGAACTAAATTAGAAGGCGTTTCACGTAGAACATCTTTGTAGATGACACTCGATTGTCCTTTAGGCAAGCAGTCCATGTCTCCTTGGCAGTATTTCATTTCTCAGTTTATGATTGCCATTATGGAGTTGGATTTGCCATACTTTGTCCATTGAATGTTAGGTTTTGAAAAGGGTTTTTCAACCATAATGGTTCTTGGATTCAACTTTTTTGAAAACAAAAAACCCAAGTAATTTTATTGTCTAGGTGTGTCTAGCGCCTCTTGCTCATGGTCACAAATATTGATAGAACCAAGTGCCCTCTTTGGTTAGCGTGGGTGGAGAATGCATGTGAAATGATCAGAATGTCTTGCTCTGCCCTTGGAAGTAGCATAAGTAGCTTATAGTCAGGTCAGTGTATCATGAGCTACCATCACTGGGGGCCACTCAGGAAATTGTCATGTAATATTTGTAAGATGACAACTGTGAGAATGTATTTTCCGTGGCCAAAGTGTGGGCCATATGATCCAAGGAGCATGGGCCTTGTGAGCTAAACGAAAATGATATTCAGAAATATATCTCACAAATACAGATAGCACTAAGTTATAAGGAAGCACCTATTTCAAAAGAGTAGAACTAATTTAGTCAGTAAGTTTGATCTTTATGACATTTATTCCACAAATCTCCTGCTTTATTTGTCTAGTTCTGGGATTACCGCCAGCCTCGGAAATACCTCAATATCCTTCCTTGCCAGGTGCCTGTCTGGAAGGCCAGATACACTGTGAGTGAGACACTCTTAACCTCCGTCTAGAAAAAAATCATCCTGGTACCCCAGGCTCAAGGAATTGTTAGAGTCTTCATATATTTTCTTTGTGTGGTGGACTGTTTACTCTCTGTGATCCATATTTGGTTGGTATCTGTTTTTTGTTTTATTTCTGAGTTTAGGTGTCAGTCACTCATGAAGCATTTATTAAGAACCTACCATTTGTCAGGCACTGTGTTCAGAACTGGGGGTACAAAGAAAGCAAAAATCAGGCCTTCCCATTGAGGAGCTCACAGCCTATTGGGGGAGACAACAAGGAAACAAACAAGCTACAGTACAGGATAAATAGAAAATAATTAATAGAGAGAAGCACTAGAATTAAAAGCGGTTAGGAAAGACTTCCTGTAGAAGGTAGGATTTTCACTGGGATTTAAGGGAAGCCAGGGAAGCCTGTAGTCGGAGATGAGGAGGGAGAACGTTCCAGGCATGGGGGCCAGCCAGAGAAAAGGCCTGAAGTTGGGAGATGGAGTGTTTTGATCATGAAGAAGCCAGTAGGCCAATCATGGGATCAAAGAGTACTTGGGAGGAGAGTAGGGGAATGGAAAGTGTAAGAAAACTGGAAAGTAGGGAGAGCAGACTGGGTTATGAAGGGCTTTGAATATCAGAGGATTTTGTATTTGATCTTGGAGGTGATAGGGAGCCACTGGAGTTTATTGAGTTGGGGTGTTGTGACATGATCAGACCTGCTGTGATGAGTGAGCTGTTATGAGAAGCAAATGTTTCTCTCTCTCTCTCTCTCTCTCTCTCTATCTCTCTCTTTCTTTCTCTTTCCCTCTCTCTTTCCCTCTCTCTTTCCCTCTCTCTCTCCCTCTCTCTCCCCCCACCCCAGCCCTCTTTTTTGTTCATCCTTGGATTGTTAGAATTATATCAAGACTTTTGAGATTTCAAATATAACCAGATGTGGCAGTCAGGGAATGGAGACACACTAATAAACAAGGAGGAAGAATTAAGGGAATATATTGCTGTAGCAATTTGGCCATGGTTCTTTGAGTAGGTGCTGATGAAAATGGAGATACTTGGGAGAGAATTTGAATTCTCCTTTTGAATTACTGTAAAAGTTAGCCTTGAGAAAAATAAAACTGCTTTCATATACTTGAAAGTATCTCCAGGTTTGCATGTGGTATAGATATGAATGTGGGCAATCGGTTGTGTTTACAGCTTCAGGGTTTTTGGCATCAGATTGGATAATGTCTTTAAGAACTGAAATACTTCTCTGAATTAAAATATTTGATTAAAAAAAAAAACAAAAGCACAATCAGATGAGGTGTGTTGTGAGAAGGAGAGAGATGTTCAATCCACTCCTATGTTATGCCAGAAATGAACAGCGGTGACCATAGTACTAGTATTAGTGCCAGCAACTAGACCAAGAGCTTGTACAAAGTAGGTATTGAATAAACATTTGTGGAATGCTTCTACAAGAAATAAAAGCTCATGGGGCAGCTAGGTGGCACAGTGGATAGAGCACTGGCCGTGAAGTCAGGAGGACCTGAGTTCAAATCTGGCCTCAGACCAAACACTTGACACTTACTAGCTGTGTGACCCAGGGCAAGTCACTTAATCCCAATTGCCTTAAAACAATAAAAAATTTAAAAAAAAAATGTAAGCTCATTGTAAATCCAGATGAGCCACTCAACAGTTCAAAGGGTAGGGGGTCTGTGGTCAAAATTAAAATGTTTGCCTTTTGTGCTCTTACTCCTGGTGTGGAGTCTACTTCTAATAATATATTTCTTTATGTAAAGAATAAGTGAGCTACTAGAAGATTCTTTGAGGTAGCCCTGCCTACTTTTTCTGTAGAACTCTAGAAAAATTGACTTGTTTGGGTTCATCCAAGAGAGCATAGAACAGAAGAACTTTACTGTGGCCACATTTGGAACCATTTGCTAACTTGGGGGTGGAAGAACTTCTTTCCTAGAACATTTTTACTGTGACATCTCTCTTTTCTCCTCTTGGTGGAGGTTGGGGCCAGGTAGTGGAGTGTTGAGAAAAGTTAGCTTATTAGGTTAGGTCCTTTCTTTATCTAATTCATTAGTGAGGAAAGATTTGATGAACCAGGCCTCTGTCTCCAATAAACACACCTCATTTTCTTCCTTTAAGCCTTTCAGCAATGGGTTAGTGACTGTGATGGTTCCTCAACTTAGGAGGGAAAATAGCCTCCTTCTCTGGAATGTCTTTGACTTGAACACACCAGTGCATACTTTTGTGGGGCATGATGACGTGGTGCTGGAGTTTCAATGGAGGAAACAAAAGGAAGGTGAGTGAAGGGTGGGGCAAGGACTACCAGAATGTTTTTCTTAGGAAGCTCATTTGCCAACAGCACCGGTCAGTTATGACCATGCATTAAAGCAGAGAGAAAGTAGAGTTGAATGCGTTATTGGTTTTTGGTCCAGCCCTGTGATTTCATCAGTCTGGGGAGCTTTCTGGTAAGGAAGCTCCTTCTACCAATACAAATTGGCAGCCAGTATCCTAGAGCACTGAGAGGTTCTAGTGACTTATCTAGCATTTCACAGACAGTATGTGCCAGAGGTGGGACAGGAAATCAGACTCCAAAGCCAGCTATCCATTATAACATATAGCCTTTCCAAGCTGATTGTCTGTTGAATGAACACATGGCTAGAGTAATGGAGTTAGGCCTCGTCTTTGAAAGGAAGTAACTCTGGGTGAGAGAGTGTCTATGGAACCTCATACTTTCTATGGTAGTTAGAAAAAGAGGTTATGTTGGTTTTGACTGCTAGTCAAAATTCCTCCCTTCTTTCCTCCTGGATTTTGAACTCGGGCCCTGGGCATTTGCTGTAGGACTACCATGGGGTTGGAAGTCCACTGGACCACAGCTCTTCTTCCTGTGAACACAGGGCACTTCCCTCCTCACACTGAGGCTAGGGGTGCTCCTAACTACATGGCAGGCAGAAAACTTGTTTCTTAGCTCTTCCAGTAACTCAGTGTGTAAAACTAACCACTTTCTTCTTTTATCCCAGTGTTGTTTAGACTTTGGCTAGTGCTGTAGCTTCTAAACATTTGACTTAGCAGTGCTTTTTTGGTAATTGTTCCCATTTGATAGAAGTAAAACTGAGGCACTGGTAGATGATCCAGCTTGGCCAGAGTTTGAAAAACAAGCAGTACTAGAACTGGGATTCGAGGAATTGGTTTTTGAGTTTCACTTGCTTCGGAATCTTATAAACTTTTCTAGGGCATATTTGTGGTGATCTAAAAAACCTCTCTGGTCATTTGTGGCAGGCTGTCTGTTCTAGGTGTGACTTCTCTTTCCAACAGCTTCCACTCCTCTGCCCTTTGCTAGAAACTTCATGCCCTGTGATTGTCCACACTTTGTCTGTCCCTGCCTGTGTCATCAGAAATTATATGTTTCAGGGGCAGCTAGGTGGTGCAGTGGATAGAGCACCGGCCCTGAAGTCAGGAGGACCTG